TGATGAGCATCCAGAGGAGAGAAAAACAGAGCAAAAAGGCATACAGAAAGCACTATCTTAAGGATAAATAAAGAGCACTGGAGTTATTTAATCTGGAGTTTAGCAAATAGAGGGGACATGGAATAAGGATCTACAAGTACAAAAGAAAAATTATATGTACAAAAAGGAAAGCTCAGATCCTCTGTGTCCATTGCAGATAAGACTAACATGCTTAATTGCAACATATGAGGAATAAAGAGAAAACTCTCAAATAAATAATCAGTTTCAACAATGAGCTAAACAGAGACAGGAATGCAAATCCTCTTTTATATATGTGTCACGAAGAAGTATATTTATTCTACCTTGGGACAAATGGCTGGATTAGCCTACTTCTTGGGGTTCTTTCCAGTCCTACTTTGTAATAGTACACAACAGGATACCGCTACAACCTTGAGTCCTCCATTAACTTCATCTCTTCCCCTTACTGAAACTGGGGTAACTTAAGAATTAGCAAAGAAATTAAGTACTTTTTATAAATCATGACTCCTGATGGGGAATATTTTGCCATGTATTAAGTGGCAAAATTATTCTTAGTAGAACCTACTCAGAATTACAGTAGTTATTTGCATTATGCTTGAATTCTTATGATCAGGATTTCAAGCTTCTTTGTGGCTTCGATAAAAATTAAATATACAAAATATTTTAAATTTGACTTATTATTAACAAAATAGCACATGCTTCCTGTTAATGTATGCCACCATTTACATGGACGTAGGAACTTACATCTAAGTTACTTGTTACTTGAATAAGAACAGCCAATTCATTTGATGGCAAATTAACTTATCTTCTAAGTATCGTTTCACGCAAGGTGCTCTTGGTGTTTGCCTTTGTATCTATTCTCTCTTCTTCAGTTTGGTAAGACTTTGATATGGCCATCTTTTTAAGGCTAAATATATTTTAGACATATATTAATGACTGCTGTATTTAAGATGTAATACAAATAAAACAATGAAGTAATTTAGCCTGGATTTTCTCATTCATAATATAATACACACTGAGTCAGCTCTTCATGAGCCCTGAATTGTTGAGCAAACACAGTAGGCAAAAAAATCTGTATAAAATACCTTATTCTCAGATGGTTTTGTCTATGTAGTCACAAAACAGTCTGCAGCACTCCTGAGAAAAAAACGTGGGTGGGGTTGCCTGAAAGTATTTCTGCTCTTGTCATCTGTAAGTGGATTATGTATACGCTAAAACATTTCGCCTCTTCTTCAATATGAACACCTAACCTGTAGCAATAACACTAAAATTAAGCTAAGCTGTTCTCTTCACTAATTTAGTAGCTTTAAACACTTAAATTTTCCCCTATCATCAGAATGTACTTTTTCTTTTAAGTCTGAAAATTAACTGGGCAAATACTTACTTGACCTTCTCTTCAACGAAAAATCATATGATAATAAGCCACTAACTACCTCAGTGGAATTACACTCATCATGATGGCATAAATTTCCCCAAGCAAAATTACTATGTGATAAACTTGCAGATTAACTACACAAATTAGACACAACAACCAGAGGAAGATCTAACTTTCAGCTGAGAAAAACTGCATTAGTCCTTGGATCCAGAAGCAGTACTTGTTTGTACAGTAGCTGAGGATTTGGTCCTAAGGATCTTCTTCAGGGATATAAAACCGCCCTACAAATAATAATCAGTACTGCTATCCAGTTTAATTACTGAGAGATCTCACAGCACAGTGCCCAAATTAACCTGTATCCCACAGTGTGGGACGGTGCCATAAGCACTATCATATTCATTGTAAAGATATGGAATTATCTGAGGGAAAGATCAATGAAGTAACATTTCCAAGATTACCTATATACTTGTAGAGTCAGGAACATAAACCTGAGGTGAAATCTCACCCTGTCATCTCACCACTAACCTATACTCTCTCTATATACAGAGACAGATTCTGAAGAAGCTATAATTAATAATATATGATTTTTTTCCTACATAGGAAAAATGAGACTTGCTATTTAAGATGTACTCTTTGTTAAGGTGGCATATGCACTTCACATCATTTTACATGCTGTGATATGTTTTTTATGTTGTGATAAAAAGAGAAAGAAAAAAGGTGCTTTCATAGGCACTAACTCCCTGTTGGAGTTGTGAAAGATGTGACATTGGAGAAAATACGAGACTCTTGGCAGAGCAAGAGGAATCAAGGGTGCTGTTATGCAGAACTAGTATCAGGACAGGTATGTAGAAATAAAATTGAATTACTGTAGTGGAAATGCCAAAGAGAAAGAACCACATGAGGAAAAAAAGTTACTCTGCAATCTTGCCATACCAATTTCAGAACACAGTCTTCTTGGTGTTACCACTGCATGTAAAAGCCTCACAACAGCACAGGAAATCTGCTGTAGAGGACAAAACAAAAGACAATCCCTGTCTAAATCTTAAAAATCTATCTTCCCTACACAGATTCTTCATATTGCTGAATAGGTTCAAGGTATAAATGTTCAAATACAAATATATCAAATAGCAGTCCAAACAAACAGGCCTTAAATCATCATTGTTCACATTTGCTGCAGCAGCAAATACATTTTTCAAACATTTGTTTAAAAAAAAAAAATGTACGTGAAGGTTTCTGTCAGTGTGCTGATTTAGGTTAAGAGGGGTTGTATCTAATTTAGCCAAAGCTAAAATTTTCTATTATTTTTGGGGGTAATATGCCATTTATGACCCTGATATCATAATCTGAAAACTAGGAACACTGTTCCCAAGTAAAAATATAGAATCAGGCTTTACATAATGACTGCTGTCTAGGTACCCCAAAAAGGAACTGTATTACATTGGGGAGAAATAGAACAAAGACTAGAAATGTACAACCTGTACTGTTAAAATACTGGTTTTTCAACTGTATTAATGATAGTTTATGTATAAATAACTGTCCTTTCCACCTCTCCAAATTCACTGACGGTACAGATTATATATTGTGTGTGTAGTATAAGGAAACGCATATCCCAGAGCTAACTCTGGCATATGGCAATAACCTAGGCCTCTGATTCTTGATAGCCATCTCCCTACCTACAACAGCCCTCACCGTTTACTTCTTGCTTTGTGTAGACAACTGGAAGCATATATTATTTATGGATTGCTTTTCAAAGAACATTTCCTTTAAAGAAGTACACTGGTTTATCTGAGAAGTGGAAGACCATGTGCAAAAACTGATCTTTTAAAGCTTTAGTGGATCTTTTGCTACTACATTAGGATAGTAAATATCTACAAACCACTACTACTGTCTTCCCAGTAAGAGAAAAACTTCAAGTGCATTCATTATGGAATATTTATGAAAATATACAAGCACACCATCTGTACCTGTTCCAAACAAAGTCACAGCATCTTACACAGATCACGTTTTGGAGGATAACCTTGCCTTTCTTAACAACAACAGAAATGTTACCCTGTAATGTCAGGAAAATGTGCTATACATTTGGAAAGAGTAATTTTAATTTAAAAGGGTAGCTAGTATATTTTAATTGCCAATTATGTTTACTGAGTAACAAGATTGTATGAGGTGATCTTTCACATAGTTGTTACATTTCTCACAATGTTTTAAGATTCAACTGACAGTTAATTAACATGTAATTGATATGCACATATGCAACACAAGTGAACAGTGTTCATTTTGGTTAGTAGTATTTCATTAGTATTTAGCATCTTAATGAAGAAAATATTTGTGTTTGGTGAATAAAAAAAAGTACTTGCCAAAAAGCAAATGTGAATTAAAATGCCATTTTCTTGACATAATTCTTTTTGTCTTGAAAAGTTTTGCTTTTTTCCCAACTATTTCTATCATTTATAATTTCCATTATGGGATTAATACTAGAATCTATCAAGTGTGAGAGAGCTGTTCTTGCTCTAGGTGTTGAGCAAACAAGTAGTGAAGTACACATTTCTGGCCCCATGGATCTTTCCACTTTGGAAAGTCGTGAATAGAGTACAGTTTTGCTCAAATGTTATTTAAAATGGACACATAAAGACAATTAATGACTGCTAAATACATCAATTTTGTACTAAGAAAACTTTTGCTATCTCAAAAATGTTTTCAGGCTCTTAAAAATGTTTGAATGTAAACAATAAACAATAACAAGAAATGTAGTGAAGTCCTCAGGTTAAATGACAATACAACAGGAAAACCAGATTCAGAGCTTCCAGAAATACAGAAATTGTCAAATACTGTAGGAAATTTTTCATACTTCCTCCTGAATTCACTAGTTAAGCAATAAACTGTAGAACAGGTTCACACATGAATACAGCAGGAAAAGTCTGTAACTCACGCACTGCAGTGGCTAAGATTCCGGATACACTCCTTTCTCTTCTGTGCATGCAAACTTTTTTGTATGCAGAGCTTATTTTTGGTTACTATGCATGGCAGGTTTCAGTAATAAAAGAATATTATATTCTTTTACTATCAGAATATCATTATCATTATACATTATAAGATATAAAAAACTACTTATTAACCTAGCTTCTATTAGACCAAGTCACATTTGTGAAACTGTAACCTGTTAGAATTTCATTCAGTAAGTGTAAGAATATTTCTGTCTAATTTACATCAGTCACTGGAACAGGCTCCCCAGGGAAGTGGTCACGGCACCAAGCCTATCAGAGTTCAAGAGGCATCTAGATGATGCTCTTAGTCATACGGTTTAGTTTTAGGTAGTCCTGCAAGCGCAGGGAGTTGGTCTTGATGATCCTTACGGGTCCCTTCCAACTTGAGATATTCTACGACTTTACATCTTCACCAGGTATGTACAACTTAATTACAGTATCTTATTCTCTCTCAGGTCATACACATCATTTTATGCCCCCTGTACATTTTCAGAAATCAAAGAGTTTGATCAAAGAGGATCTTAATGATTCACTGCATGACTTTAAGCAGCTTCATAGGAACAGTAATACAGTAGCATTTTTCCCCTCATCAAATGTCTTTTTAAATAAAGTGGTGTAATACATACCCTATCAGTTTTCCCTTCAGTCTGAATACTTGTACGGCTACGTGCATCGTGGTCTTCTTCAAGGTCAGACACATCTTCTAGCTCCTCAGGTGTCTGGGAAAATGAATGTAGAAATGCGTTATTCTCTTTTATGGTTAGTAACTTTGGTATTATAGTCAAACATATATTATAATTTGGTTCAAGTTCATGTCTGACAAACAAAAAACAGTCCTGTTCTAGCAGTGCACTGGTTACTAAATGCTAACCAAAACCAAATTGCATCAGCTCTGAACTAGTTCAGAATAGCTATGCTTTAATTAAAGCACTGACTTCTAAAGCTGGTACTCAGGGAAGTTATTCTGTAGTTAAATGCTGTGTTACTGCTGCTAGCAAAGGTGTCTTTCAAGAAACCTTTACAAGACCAGAATAGACGCCTACATTTTTAGAACCAAAAGATTTTTCTACCTCTTTTTTACAAGTTTTTCTACTACTTCTCTTCACTGTCTAGAAATACTCGTATTTCCACTTTCCCATCTCTAGATGGGTTAGACACAATAGATCTAGTAGGCCCTCAAAAGGGTCCAATACTTTATCAGTGGGAGTAAGAGGCTTCAGAATCCTGCTGATTTTTGTTGCTACACTGACATGAAAGAGTGCTCTAAGTCAGCTATGAGCTCTGGCAGGGAAAAAACACCTCTTTCCCAGGTCTGAATGTGTCACTTCTCAATTCTATCAAGCAGCACAAGTTCCTGCACTACAGGAAAAACTAAGTGGCCTTAATTTGCTATACGTATACATGGCATTATTTCATATCCCACTGTCTGTTCAGTCTAGTCACCTCAACTGCCATTTAAGCAACGCCAGTTTATTACCGCAAAATACACATTTGTATTATGATAATTTGCTATGCTTTTTCTACCATTGTGATGTTTTCTTAGAGCTGTCTGGTTTTTGCCTGTAAGTAGATAGGACAAAGTAGTTCTTACAGGTAGCAATTAATGATATCGAGCCATCTTCTCAACAAAGGAAAATTAATCCCAACAGCATTAGGTAACTACACTTACACTTTATTCAGCATTTAAGTCTTTTACAACCCTTAAACTATTTTCCGTCAAAGAGTTACTACATATGTTGGGAAAAAATGTAAATTATATTTTTAGCCTCCTCTCTTAATATGTCCCCTGAATACTCCTCTCTTCCTCTATTGACTTTTTAACTTTTTTTCTTTTCCACATACTCCAAAACCTGAGTGATTTGGGCCAGTCTAGACTTCTACTGCATATACTGTATGTACTACAATGCACTCACAGCTAAAAGAACCTGTTATGGTAACATAGGTTTTGGTTTCTAATTTCTTCAACCATACAGGAGCAACTCCATCAAAAACCACTGTTTAACTTAGGACAAGAGTAATATTCTATACAATTCTATATACACGATTTGTATAAAATTTATTTCCTCCTTCCTACTTAACAACATATTACAAAAAAAAAAATAACCTCCATGCAGGAGTTCTGAATTTTATCATAAATAACTTAGTTAAAAGAGTGTAGTGAACATGACCATACAAAGGACATAAAATATTTAAAGCCAGTTTACTCATATTAACAAAACACTGCACAATGGAGCACACAAAACTTTTGGGATTATAAACTACTTAAAAAATAATATCGGTTCTGCCAATGCAATAGGGGACTCAAAAAATTTTTATTTGTCAAGTACATTCAGATTTTACAGAAACAAAAATATATATAAGGTCCAGACTCAATGCATAACTGGTGACAGATACGCTACTGAATGATCTACTACCAGCTGGACATCTCGAGTTCCAATTAGAGTGAAATCCTGACATTTTAAGTATGCCAAATGCCTGATGTGTCAAGAGAAACATGACAAGAGAAGGACTATCAGATAACCCTAGCAAAAAACAGGCAGGAAAAAACCTGGTCATCACTTTTACCCAATTTTCAATCATGTCAAATGCAATTTTTTAAATCCAGAATTGCTGTATGTTCTCACCTTCTTATTTTTACTGTCAAGTTATATATAAACAAGATCTGTTGAGAAGGACACTGTAGGGTTCTGTTATTTTACTTCTGGGTCCAGAGCATAGTCATGGCATGACCTTCAATTGAATAAATCCACCTGCATACATTCGCATTATTTGGGAAAGCGCCTCTGTGTGCAAAGGGCGCTATATAAACCACTAGACTTCGACACCAGCCTTGAAACAAGGTTTAAATCGCACTCCATTACTTCAAGAGCACACAAGTAAATTTCATTCACTGAACAAAGTAACAATAATTTCTATGAGAGGACATCGTAAGAAATAAAGAACTCAAACCTGCTGCACAAGCTGGCAGAAATCTAATGCTGGTGGTGAAAAATACGTATAGAATTCCTCAAGAAAACAGACAGGCTATCAGTTTCTGGGGCAAAGATGAGCATAATGCTACACTAGTACAGCAGGTAAAAGGAACATTTTATTTTCAGGCAAAGACTAACAGCATAATAAAGTCTCTCAGCTTTAGTCTTGGAATTAGACATAGTAAGATTCCACAGTAGCCAAAAACTTAACCATGCAAAAGTTGCTTGAAAACCTGCCGTGTGGAAGGAAAATCAGATTTTTGCTGTTGGTGGATTTTCATGGAAAAAAAACCCAAACAAAACTATCAGAAATTCAATCTAATTGAAACTCTTACAGACACACTACAGGACCAATAACAGACTGGATATTAAAATAGAGTCACTTTAGATTCTCAAGATTACACTGACCAGGACCCCCAGGCAGGTTAATAGCCTTGATTCAGTGAGAGGTTTATAGGAAAAAAGAAATCACTTCCTTTTCAAAGCTACACGAAACTTGGTTACTACATAGAATCATAGAATGGCTTGGGTTGGAAGGGACCTTTAAAGGTCATCTAATCCAAGCTCCCTGCTATAAGCAGGGACATCTTCAACCGGATCAGGTTCCTCAGAGCCCCATCCAACCTGGCCTTGAATATATTGTGATTCTTATGTTTTTCTAAACATTAGTTACCAATTTTTTTCCCCAATGATCACAAGGTTGTATTCATGGTAGCAGGGCACCATTCCTTCCAGCGTGAAGACACACTTGGGAATGTTTGACAATCCCACATTTCCAATACAGTTTTGGTTGTGGTTTTTTATCCTCTCTCAAACATGGAGTACAAGATGTTGTGACAGGGCAGAATGGTTAATAATTCTGAGACAGTCACATTATTCGTAAATGATGTTTAGGTCATGTCAGTAAGAGCTTCATACCACAACCCCTCACGACAAATTGCATATATTTACAAAAAGATTATTTTAGGAGGCATTGAGAGAATTTTGTAGAACTGTATTGATACTGTTTTTCTCTAAAGTCAAAATACATAAATATTACCAGCCTAAATGTAGAAACCTCAGAGCAAAGGGGACAGGAAAATGACACTAGTATAAGACATCACCAAATGACAGTGTGAGGTAAGCTTTCCACATACGAAAACATCAACTTGTTAATCTGATACAGCACTTTCCAAATTGCAAGTTGTAGAACAGACATCTCTTTCCAGCTGCACTGGCATAAGGATTCACTCTCCAATTCTTTACTCATATGCAGAACACTGGGTCAGAGTCAGCGTAAGCGGGCTCATCTCTGAGCCCCTCTTGGCCCACATGTCAGAAAAATTTTTTTCTTTTTTAAAAACAATGCATATGCCCTCTTTAGGTCAGTAAAATTTATTTGTGGCTGGGATGAGGTTTCTTGTAGAAAGCCCATTTATCTAGCCAGAAGAGTGCACTCCCATTGAATTCTTCCTAAGTTATTTTCTCCAAAGTCCAGATCTGCCAGGTTTTGAACTACTGGTACTATAGAATTCAGAAAAAAGAGCCTATCCAGTTATTAAAGACTAAGGATAACGTTGCAAGCATAAAGAAGCTCCTTGATTTATCAAGCCTTAAATCACAAACCATAAACCATAGTCAGTCAGACACAAAGCACCAAAAATTGAAAAAAAAAACCAACCACCATAATTAATAATGCGAACAACAGAAGTAGTTACTCAATTGTTTTCTCTCGTTAGAAGCTGTTTTATGCAATTCAATGCAAGATTTGTGATTTTTCATATTGCTTTCATGGTACGCTATTCATTAACAGAAATCTTGCACAGGAAGAACAGCAGAGCTTGAGGGCTGGAGTAAGAACAATGGAAGGAAATTGGAAAATATTGTTTGAGTATTTAAGGCTCTGAAACAAACTGTACATACCTCTGACATAAACTGGAGCCTCGACAACTGCAAGTGACAGAAGAGGAAGAGGGCTGCATATACATAGTCAGTGACAGGATGAATACAAGACATAAATGGCAAATTCACTACTAAGACATACAAACTATGGAATTTCCAGTAAATGTAAGGAAGAATGTTGAGGTAAAATGAAGTCCTGTGCAAGACCCCAGCCAGCAACAACCTACAAAGTGATGCTTGAAGCACAGTGGTAAAAACAGTTTGGAAATAAATTTAAACAGGAAAATTTAGAAAAAGATTTCCAGCAGCCATAGGAGCAGAACTCTTGAATAGTCTCCCCTAGGGGGGCTGCAGGAGGGGAGAAATCAATCAGAAGATGAAGCCCAAGCAGTCTACAAACAAGGCTTTGTAACAGTTGGCTGCAAGAGCTGAGGCGTGAGACGGGATGGGGCGCCTGCCCCAAGCCTTCGGGCTCACGATTCTAAGAGAGGTTTCGGTCATTCATTGACAGCCTTTGTTGATCCAACAAAAATACATTCAAGTCTCTACACATTTAAGACCATAACTACGTTACTACTACTGACACGTTACACAAGTAGTGTGCGTTCCTTTCCACATTTCAATGCTTGTAACAGATCTGCATTCTCAATGGTTTTGCTATTGAAGACTCAGGCTGAGGACTCAAAACCATATTTATAGCTAAGTCTAGTAGTGATGAATTTTACACCTTCCTGGTATTCAACTTCAAGCTGCAACAGCAAGTCATTACTATTGCACATAGGTGATTTCAGACTAGGTGATTTCAGACTATGAATTACCTTTTCATCTACGAAATTAAAAAACACTCTCTGATGACAAATCTTTTA